AATATTCATGTTATATATATCCGACATATAAAAAGTCTTCATAGATGCTTCAGTAAGTGATTGAGGTGTATTTAGAAATTGTCCCATCGCACAGGCAAAGTAGACTATCCATTGCGATAGCTCCGTCAACGGTTCTGGTGGATACGACGATGGCTTAATGGGTGACTGGAGCGGTCTGACAGATTCCTGATCGAGAACAAAGTACATCGTGCAAAGCATATTGTAAACGAGAGATCCTGTTTCATCCTCTCTGGGTATCCACGTCACCAAGTAATGAAGAAAATTGTAGTAGTCGTTCAAAGTTACTATAGTAGTCATGTCTTCAACATCTGTATTGTGGGCATCAGAGACTGCCTTCGCAAATTTGCTCTCCCAGTCATTGCGTTTAATCATGTTTATCAGCCCCTGAATAATTGGGTGATAGGCCTGAGGAGTAGGAAAAGGCCCGAGTGCTCGGTTAGGCATGTTAGGCATGATTGCTTTTTTTTTCGAGATATAATGAATTTGAATTTTTTTTTTCAGAAAGGCGGGACAAGGATCTTTAAATAATAAATTATAAAGCTATGAATGATAGCAGATGTTAGTTACTAATAAAATACCAAGTATCAGTTGGTCGGTACATTTACTGATAAGCCTATTTCTAATTCGATTGGGCATGAAAAAAAATAGACGACAATCAATTTTGCATTGGCGATTGTAAATAGATCTACGTCTATAGTTGGCGGTAGAATTAATTTGGTAAATTAATACGGCAACGGCATGTGCCGTATTATTATTTGCGTAATGCTGTAATGCTGTAGTATAGAAATATTGTAACGCAGTAAACCTTTTCTATAGCTATCAAGTTGCGGGGGGGTTTGAAATTTGTGCATATTCGCTGAGGAGTAACGATTTGAAATCAGCCAAAATTTTCAGGTATGTCATGCCTATAGATGGTGATTACTAATTATTTTCATTGTTAAAATTTCCATTTTTAATTCTACCACCATCTATAATTGTGGCACAGATTTGATGTGACTACGTAACACGTTCGTAAAGCGCTCGCACCATATGATATTATAGTGTTATAGTACTGTATTATGATTTCGCATTATTACAGTATTATGATATTACGGCAATACGGAATGACGGCATTACGGCATTACGACATTGTGCCGTAATTCTACCAACTTGTAAAATGCCGTAATGCAGTCGGGCACATTACCAAAAATGGGCAATGTAGATCGCCCCTTTTATAGTATAGAAACGTAGATCGGACGA